TGTTGTAAGTTATCTATATAAATATAATAGTACTGTCTGTTGTAAGTTATCTATATAAATATAATAGTACTGTCTGTTGTATGTATCTATATAAATAAAGTATTGTCTGTTGTATGTTATCTATATAAATATAACAGTAATGTCTGTTGTATGTTATCTATATAAATATAATAGTACTGTCTATATGTATATAAATACAATAGTACTGTCTATATGTATATAAATACAATAGTACTGTCTATATGTATATAAATACAATAGTACTGTCTATATGTATATAAATATAATAGTACTGTGTATCTATATAAATATAATAGTACTGTCTATATGTATATAAACATAATACTGTCTGTTGTCTGTCCGTGTGACTGGATCTTCACCAAAACTGGTATGGAGGTTCATTGAGTCCATGAGGAGATATATATACACATATATTCAGTTTTATGATTTTTAGGGAGTTTTTACACTTTTTACCACTACTTTACCCCCCTGTTGATGGATCTTCACCAAAGTTGGCATGAAATGTTTGTTGGGTCCACATGGAGATACCTGGAAATATGTGGTTTCACATTTCGTGTTTTGCAGTTTTTATGGGTCTTTTTTTTATAATTACATATAAGGGAAGCAACTTGTCATGTCCTAAGATAATCTTTCATTCATCATGAATTTACATAATGTCCATCCAGGGGACGGGCACTCCAACTAGTTAAACAATAACTTGTCTACTTTTTACTGCTGAGAGACTCGAAAAATGAAATTTTCAAGTACTTAGACACTATATTAATTATAACTCAGTTGTTATATGTACTTATACACTATATGAATTATAACTCAGTTGTTATATGTACTTATACAAAATCTAGTGGTTCAAGTAATTTCACAATATTTCCCTACATTTTCTATTGGTCAGAGCTAAAGACCTTCAACACAAACTGTGCACTGATGTGAAGGTCCAGTTCATTGTGAAACAAGGTCAGATCGAGGCAGAATCTTCAGAGTTTGTTCCAGATTACTCTAGAATGTTACTAGTCCACCGGTCAGCTGTAGAGAGCCCTATCTCAAAAATCAGGGTACAGAGTTAAACATATTTCTACTTTAACACATTGTCTGCCATGCATATCACTGGTGATACATTTTCCTTCTTGTCTCAGTGCCCCAGCATATCACTGATGGCACATGTACTTAATCTTGATGACACGTGTATCACTGATGTCACATGTACTTAATCTAGATGGTACGTGTATCACTGATGTCACATGTACTTAATCTAGATGACATGTGTATCCCTGATGTTACATGTACTTAATCTTGATGACACGTGTATCACTGATGTCACACGTACTTAATCTAGATGGCATGTGTATCACTGATGTCACATGTACTTAATATAGATGGCATATGTATCACTGATGTCACATGTACTTAATATAGATGGTAAAGTACATGTGACATCAGTGATACACGGATACACGTGTCATCTATATTTTTCCTAGACACACAGTATATATATAACACGTACCATCTATATTAAGTACATGTGACATCAGCCTTTACGGAAGTCCTGTCCTTCTTTTATAGCTAATATTTTAATCTCTCCTAGACTTGTTTACTCACCATTTCATCTAACTCTACTGCCTTCTCCAGAATCTTAACCTCATAATCTGATTCACCGACATCACCTTCAGTCAATAATTTCTGTCTTTCTCGAGTTATACGCATGGTCTGGATGTCATATAAATGTTGCCTCAAGTCTTCCAAAGTCATGCACAACTTCTGATGTTCCCACTCGAGCCGAGCTATTTCTGTTGTTCTACTTAGGTGACTTTTA